TTGATGGCGGCGGCGGCTAAGTTAGGAGCGCGGCGGCGGTGCTCGAAGTAGGCGAGGAGAAGCCAACAATGTGACGAAGACCGGCACGAACAATGGTGTTCCCGCGCCAAGGGAGGCGGTGCGGTGCATACCACGAGAAGTCGACGCGCAGCGACGGCGGTGGACCGTGGGCCGTGGCGCTATGGCCCAAAGGGGCGACACAGTGGCTGCGGGCAGGTCATGGCGACGGCAAAATACCTCGGGACGGTCATAGGGACCGCGCGCCGCGGTGCTACAACCTGAAGGGGCGGCGCAGCGGCGGAGCGCGGGTCGGTGCAACCGCGGGGATGGCCTTGGGACGGCGGCGTGGACCGCGTGCCATGCTCGCTATGGCCCGACGGGGTGACACAGCGGCGGCGCGAGGGTCAGTGCAGCCACGGGGGCAGCCTAGAGCGGACGGCCTCTGGGCGGCGGTAGACTGCGGGCCACGGCACTACGGCCCGAAGGGGCGACACAGCGGTGACGCAGGTCGGTGCAGCCGGGAGAAAAACCACGGGGCGGCAGCGCTGCGGCCCGATGGGGCGACGCAGCGGCAACCCGTTGCTTGATCGGCAGTGGGGCGCGTTGAAATCGGGACGGTCTTCACGGGGCATGCGGAGGCGCACGCAACCGACGGGCCAGGTCGGTCGCACGGCGTAGATGAGGCGGATCGCGGCGGCGGGCGGGTGATCAATCCGATCGCGCGTGAGGTCGGGGACGCCGCTCGGTGGAAACAGGGTGGTGGCGGAGTCCGAGATGAAGCCGGCGATGGCGGGCGGCAGGGCGGCTATGATTGGCCGCCGCATGGTGCGAGGCCGCCGGGTCGGATGATGCAGGAGTCCCGATCGGAGCAGGGCGGTGACGGCCAACGTAGATCGACGGGCGGGCCGGAGTGCGAACGGCGGCGGTGAAGGGCCGCCGCATGACGCGAGGCCGCCTGGTCAGGGCGACCGGCGGCAGACACGCGGACGGCACACGAGGCCGCTGGGCGGTGAAGAATCTGGTCGATCGTGCCAGGTTTGGAGTAGAGGCGCACGGGGTCGACAGCGGCGGTGGGCGACGCAAACCGATCAAAATTAGATTGGAAAACCAAAAAGAAACCGCCGATCAAGATGACCGGCGAGAGAGAGAAAACCCCGGAGCAAGGGCTCGGGGAAAAGACTCTCTAGGGCAGCCAGTCAACATGACCGGCGGACGAACCCTAGGTACGGGCGGCGCGGCCCCCGGCGGCGGTCATGGAGGGCGACCGCCCCAGGGGCGGCGCACGGGTGCGGAAGCGGTGGCGGCTAGGGTTTACAACCCGGAAACTAATACCATGTAGAAGGGAGAGAGAGGATTGATGGAATTGTTCATGTATTGCTTGAGCCTCGTGGGCATATATATAGGAGTACATTGTCATCTTGGAGTACAAGGCAAGCCAGAATATTCACTAGTCTATCCAATGTGTCCAATCTAACAATGATACTCAACATAGGGGAACACACCGAGGTGGTCCAGCAGGTTGTCGAAGGCGGCGAGCATGTCGAAGTAGTGCGCCTCCAGCTTCCCCTCGGCCTCGGAAGCAGAGGCGGATCAGGCCCTCGCGCATCTCCTGCGCCTCCAGGCCCAGCTTGGGCACGCCCACGGGGCTCCGGGGGACGCACGCAGTGACCAGCTCGGTGAAGAGCGCGTCGACGGCTGGGGATGGGCTAAGGGACGGCAGCTTGGCGAAGGCGACGTGGAGGCAGGTGATCTTCTCCACCAGGGCAGTGACCTCCTTGTTCTGGGCATCCATTTTACTCTTCTTGGTGTCTAAGTGAGGTACATGAGCGGTTGATGGAGCTACTTGATGAGAAATGGAGCGAGCAGCACGGGGTATAAATACGTATGTAGCTGTCAGCTAAAGAGCACCGGTGAAGGTGCGCGTGCATGCAAGCTTCACGCGTCCATTCCCAATAAGAGCATCTCCAGCAGCGCCCCCAGGATGGCCTCCCCCGGTGATTTATTTGCGCCGGCGCTGAAAAAATGGCCCCGTCGCGCCCCGAGGACGTCGAATTTCGCCGGCTCGGCCCGTTTTTATGCCCGGTGCTCGCAGGCCGAACCCGGCGCACTAGGGGGTGCTCGGGGTCTCTGGCGCGAGGAAAAGTGCTCCTTGGCCCGCATTG